CTCTGCTCTCAGTGCTCTGTTACCCCCAGCTCTGCTCTCAGTGCTCTGTTACCGCACCCCCAGCTCTGCTCTCAGTGCTCTGTTACCTCCCAACTCTGCTCTCAGTGCTCTGTTTCCCCCCCCCCAACTCTGCTCTCAGTGCTCTGTTACCCCCAGCCTTGCTCTCAGTGCCCACCCCCAGCTGCTCTCAGTGCTCTGTTACCCCCAACTCTGCTCTCCAGTGCTCCTATTACCCCAGCACTGCTCTCAGTCCTGGTATTACCCCCCCCTCTCAGTGTTCTGTTACCCCCCAGCACTGCTCTCAGTGTTCTGCTACCCCCCAGCTCTTCTCTGTGTTCTGTTACCCCCCAGCTCTACTCTCAGTGCTCTGTTACTGTCCACCCCAGCTTTGCTCTCAGTGTTCCTTTACCCCCCAGCTTTGCTCTCAGTGCTCTGTTACCATCCCCATATCTGCTCTCAGTGTTCCTTTACCCCCCAGCTTTGCTCTCAGTGCTGTGTTACCCCCAGGTCTGCTCTCAGTGCTCTGTTATCATAATGTACTGCTCTGTAACACACCCACACTAGCCCAGTGTTATTCATTTAACCCAACTCTGCTCTGGGTACCATCATCAGTTCTTTCATTCATCTACTTCTGCACATTGCATCAAACTACACACCCCTTAACTACCTCTGCTCTGATCATACCTACTTCTTAACTGCTTCTGCTCTCCTCTGTGCACCTACCTTCCAACCTCTTAATTACTTCTACTCTGTTGAGCTCTTTGCACCTACATTTTATATAGTAATGCACAAAATCTGCCCTAGTAATGTAATATGCAAACACCTACCCTTTAACTAACCCAATTCTGCGCACTTACCTACCCAGGCCTAGTGCAATTAACCACCCTTCTTAAGTACCCAAGCTCTGCTGTGGGCAGATAATCACCACTAAACTACCCCAGCTCTGCTTTGCGCTGTCCATTTTAACCATAATTACCCCAGCTTTGCACTGTCCACCCATCTACCCTATAGTTAATCCAGTTTTGTGCTACGCTCCTACCTACGCAATCATTAAAAAAAGAAAACATATGTGTTAAATCAAAAATGAAAAATAAACCATGAAATGAATATCAACAAGCTGGCATCAGGTAGTGAATCATATATGCTATTTTATTTTAAATGCTGCAGAGTATGCTTGACAAGAAACTATCACTAAGAGACAGGTTCTCTTTCCTTCGTCCTAGTATATACTATTAAACCATTTGCTAAGGAAAAACACAATAACAAAATTAAAAAATTGGCACTCATTCTTATATTTTGGATGTTTCATTTTTTTGGTCTGTGAGGGTGGCCAAGATACCGGCACCTATAATCTGATTGAGTGCCAACACAATTTGTAATTTTTCATTAGACACAATTACCCCCACTGCCACATTAACTCCAGTTTGTCTTGCCAAACTCAGCCTGTTTTTCTGGTAAATAAATGTGATAGGCAGTTGTCTACAGGCACCTTCTTGACACCAAATCGTGAGACAAGCTAAAGAGAACTGGATTACCTGGGAGAAGCTAGGGGCGCTTTAGCATTTGGGCCCTTACACTAACATCTTACCCGAATACTCCAATAACTACACAAGCATGTACATGTTTGGGCACAACTTCATGGGATATGATTCATTTACATTGTATGCCATGCTGTGACATTTCCTCTTTAATAAGGTTTATCGATGTAGGGTTGTTTGAAAATGACTGAGTTGGATGTGAAATTATGGCTGATTTACATAGAATGGAATGGTCTCCCAGGGGAGGTGGTAAAAGCTAGTGCTGTATAAGAATTTTTGCTGTTCCTAGGATAGATACAGGACTATTCAGTCTTTTAGTAAATTAACTTTTCACTGTACATATTAGTAAAAGATGATCTCTGACCAATTAATTTTAATTATGTGTATAGGAAATATAAAGTAAATAGTAGGTTACTAGAAATTGGAGCTGGAAATTATATTTCTATGAGTAGTGGGAACCCGAGCCCTCACTTTTAATTTGTATTCTGAAGTTAAGGGCAGAGCTTCTAAAGGAACACTCAAAGTACCATAACCACTGCAGCTTACTCTGGAGGCTATGGTGCCAGGACTGCCCTGGTTACCCCCTATTGAAGGTAGTCAAACAATTTCTAAACTAAGCAGGAACTTTCATTAGCTCTCACGAGCTAATGCCCACATTGGAGGGGTAGCTAATGGACTGTTAGCGTCCGCAGATCGCTCTCAGCCAATAAGCTAAGTACTGCGCTAATAAATTGCTACCAGCAGTCCAGCACTAGTAGTGAAGGCAAGTGTCAGCATCTGGCAGACTGATAGAATTATTACGGTAGTGTGGATTTCTACATTTAATTTTCTTTTTCAGACGTCACAAACACTTATTTGTCAACTCAAAGAGATACATAAACATAATATAAAAAATCATGAGAAGTGACGGTTCCTCTTTAATATTTGATAATAAAGTGCTCTGCATGTGTTGTCTCTGTGTAAAGAAATTGTAACCACCATCAATGTGTTCTCACCATCAATGTGTAACTCACATCCCCTGACAAGCCTCCTGAATCTGAATGACTCATCTTTCACAGATAAGACATGTTTGAAAACCTATTAAATTCGCTCCATACCTTGAAAGCCATTTTAGTAATAGCTCAGTTTACGTTTTATTATCAGAAATAACAATGTGTAGGGAGATTAGCGTCTTGCAAAGCTCCTTCCGCTGTTAGATTTGTCACTTCTGCTTAAAACAGTCATTATTTTGCAGCCTCTCTTTTTTTATTCGCAAACCGAAAATAGTATGTCTTTATTTATCTTTCATAAAAATAGAATTTTATTGAGCACCGCTCTGATCAGCAAACCAATTAAAAACCAATTAAATTAGTTAGTTTACAGGCTGGAGATGAGGCCACTTGTCAGAATGTAAGGCAACTTGGTTAGTAATTAGTAGGAGCTGTGGATAGTCTTGTTTTGAAGAGGAATTGTCACTACATTTCCCCACATAATGTTTTATATTGTATTAACACTTCTAATCACAATTGATGTAGGTAACTTTATCCGACAGCACGCAGACGTGAGAATCATCTTACCTTTCCTGATTGAACAAGGTAATGGGTGCATCCATTTGCATAATTAATGAAGGATTTGTCACTTTTTCTGTTAGTGTTAGATTCTCTTTAACTAACCCCAGGAAACATTGTTGAGGCATTTCCTGGGGTGATGAGTGCTATGAAGGTAAGTATTAAGCACTCTTACTTCCTTTGCACTTCCAGGTGATTGGCGACACCATCTCCCAGACGTGCTTTGTGCACACATATACATATTCAATGAGAATGATATTCCCATAATGCAGTCATACAGAGAATTATGACATGTTTTGAATTTGCACTTGGTGCCAGGTTGTGCCAGAAAAACAATGTATTCAATACAAATTAAAAAAGTATAAAATAAGGTTTAAGCGTAAATAATATCTTTCGTGTAATATTATGACACCATGAAGCAGAACTTCAATAGAATATATCTACTTTAATTCATGTTTAAATGAAATGAGAAATATCAATATCATTAGCCCAGTCTCCCATCATGGAAAAGCGATCACATAATTTAAGGAACCTAAAATGAAATTATAGCCATCTATAGCCATCTCTGGTCTCAATTAACTGTAACTTTTAGATTGTAAACTCCTTCGGATTTTTCCAAATCTGTAGGAGTCTATATAGGTTCTGCAGAATTCTCTATGAGATCAGATGGATTATATGCACGGTCTAGAGGGTGTTGTTGTTGAGTTCTGTTGAAATGTATCGTGTAATATGCAATGTAAGAAATGCCTAGGTTTTTTGGATATTTGAGGTTGGTATGAGATCTGTCTGAATTTAGCAAAATATGCTGATTTATATTGTAGAGCAGTGTTCTCCAAACTCTGGCGCTCTAGCTGTTGCTAAACTACAACTACCATGATTCTTTGAATGAAATAGATAGCCAGAGAATCATGGGAGCTGTGGTTCTGCAACATCTGGAGGTCCAGAGTTTGGAGAACCCTTCTCTAGAGCCTCTGTGAGGTGTTCCAGGTTCTACTGGAGGGTCTTCCTAAATGCATCAGAGATTTGCTTTGTCCGTTTGAGACATGCTAAGTTTATTTAACACCTGCCTATATCGGTCCAAAATATGCTGATGTTTTGAGTAACAATTGCAGAGTTTATCCATGACCTGCTGAGTGTATCCTGTTGACCCACCTAACTTAATTAAATTAGCACTACAGAGTTAGGAATACAAACCTAATTAAATATAAGTACCCCTCATGAATTTTTTTTTTTTAAATGCCATAAAAAATTATAAATTCAAAGAATTACTTTTTCCAGTGCTGAGGCTCCCTCGACATCTCTCACCTCTTAGACTGCCGTGACATCATCGAGGAAGTATGGCCTCCTCTGCGATGGTCCA